TCTAAACTGGCAGTCAGACATCCCTCTTGCAATCCAGGACCACTGGCTCCTAACCGTTCACCTGCCTGCCTGCCTGATCACCCCTAACCGCCTCTGCCTGCTGACCTGATCACTCCCTAACTGCTCCCCTGCCAGCCTGATCGCCCCTAACTGCCCTCCCCTGCCAGCCTGATCACCCCTAACTGCCCTCCCCTGCCAGCCTGATTGCCCCCTAACCACCTCTGCCTGCTGGCCTGATCGCCCCCTAACTGCCCTCCCCTGCCAGCCTGATCACCCCCTAACCACCTCTGCCTACTGGCCTGATCGCCCCCTAACTGCCCCCCCTGCCGGCCTGATCACCCCCTAACTGCTCTCCCCTGCCAGCTTGATTGCCCATAACTGCCTCTGCCTCAGCCCCTGCCACTGTGGCTTTGTCCGGAAGGACGTCTGGAAGATGTCTGGTTAATTAGCATATTACCCTTTTATTAATATAGATACACACACGTATTGTCCCTCAGTTTCTGGGTCAGAAGTCTGGGCACAGGTTAGCTGGCTCCTCTGGGACCTTAGAGTCTCACCAAGCTGAAATCAAGGTGTCATCAAAGGCTGCAATCTCATCTGGGTTTTAGGTCCACTTCAAAGCTCACTGGTTATTGGCAGAATTTAGTTCCTGGGAACTGCAGAACTGAAGTCTTAACTCCTAGAGCAGCCGTGGGCAAACTACGGCCCGTTTGAAATGAATAAAACTTAAAAAAAAAAAAAAGACCGTACCCTTTTATGTAATGATGTTTACTTTGAATTTATATTAGTTCACACAAACACTCCATCCATGCTTTTGTTCCGGCCCTCCGGTCCAGTTTAAGAACCCATTGTGGCCCTCGAGTCAAAAAGTTTGTCCACCCCTGTCCTAGAGGCTATGTGGCCACCTCCAAAATGTGGAAGTTTGCTTCTTTCATTGTAAACAAAGGATCTCTGACTTCTGAGAAGATCTGACACTTTTAAAAGGCTCACCTGATTAGGTCAGGCCCACCCAAGATAATCTCCCCTTTAACACAAAGCCAACTGATTACAAACTTTAATTACTTCAGCAAAATCCCACATTTCAGGTATATAACATAATCAGACATGAAATTTCATCATATTCACTAGTTCTGCTCACACTTAAGGGGAGAAGATTACAGAGAATGTATACACAGAGGGTATGAATCTTGGGGCATCTTAGAATTCTGTCTACCACAAATCCTCATTAAAGGAACTTCTAAAGGATGTACTTTGGATAGAAGGAAAATAACCCCAGATGGAAGATCTGAGACACAAGAAAGAAGAATGAGCAAAGAAAATATTAAACATATAGGTAAAGCTACACAAATCTCAACTCTATAAATAATAGCAATATATCTGATTTGTGAGTTTGACAAAATAACAATATAATTAAAGTACAAAAGCATACAGATTCAAAGGAAATAATTAATGTTGAAGAACTCTAGATGTGGGTCTCAGAGGATCAGTCCACCTTGTCCAGGTTTGTTAGTTTGACTGAGGCATTCCAGAGGCGTTGGGCCACCTGAGGATCCTGAGCAGCTTTTGCGGGAGGAATTATCACGCAGGACCTGCTAAAATATTTTCCGGAAATACCATCTAGCTCCTTTGCCAAGCTCAGGTAGAGAACTGGGTTTGCACCTTGTGTAGGATCCTGTGGAAACACCGAGAGTGGGGGTTGAGGGGAAGGATGGGCTGTCTCACCAGGCAGGCTTTAGCGGGCTGGGGACACTGAGAAGTAGAGCCCTACACCACCCTCTTCCAGCCAAACCAGCTCCTCCTCTACCCACCTTAATAAAGAAGCTGGAGATCCAGAAGGAGAAGCGGTAATACAAAGGTAACATCCTCATGATCTCCGTGTACACAACACCTGGCTCTACAGAGTTCACAGTCACACCTGAGGTGGTGAGACAGAAGCATAATGCAGAGTGAGGTGAAAGGATGATGGGAAGACAGGACCGAGTGTGGTTCTGCCATGTGCAAGCAGGGAAGGATCCTACCAGGTCGGTTGGGTAAAGGCGACCAGAGACTTGGGGGTGGTACGAGGGACGACAGTGCTCTGTAACTTACATGAATGGTGCTACCCAAGCCAGTAAGGAGACACAAGTATTTGAAAGTGTTGGGTTACCTTTAGGAGGAACGTGATGTATGGTGTTGGTATTGGAAAATACTGAGAGGAGAGGGGTGTTACCGGTGATAAGAGAATTGGAAAAGGTTGAAAAAGAGACATGAGGACAGGGTTGGGAGAACTATAGGGGTACAGGTGGTAAATGGAAGAAATTAACAGCTGGCTTGGGGGATATTGGGAGTATTTTATGGCCAAGACATGTGGAGAGGTGTGAAGGATTGGGAGTGGAGGAATAGGGGGTGTCAGGGGCAGTTACCTGTCCCTTGAAGCCTCCGGGCAAATTCCCCAGTGATTGAGGTCAAAAGCAGTTTGCTGCAGAAATAGTTCTGGTTGAAGGTCAAAGGTCCACCAGCCCCTGTCAGATGTTCCTCATCAAAGTACCCTTGTGTTTGCCAAGAGGAAGACACGTTTATCACCCGGGCTGACCCTGCCCGCTGTAGCGCTCCTGGGTAGAGAGAGGACCACGTTCCTTCAGTCTGAGTCCTAGTGTCAACTCCCATGCCCACTCCCCAGCCTGCTTCTCCAGGGGGTCCCAGGAGAGCAGGGCCCATGCAGGGCTTTCAGGAGTGGGCCCCACCCAGGCACCGGGGCTAGGCACAGGGGAACTTAATGGGAACAGAGACTTCACGTTCATTAGCTGCTTTCCTAACACTCTCTTCCTCTTTTATTTTATTGATTTTTTACAGAGAGGAAGGGAGAGGGATAGAGTTAGAAACATCGATAAGAGAGAAACATTGCCAAAACCGGTTTGGCTCAGTGGCTAGAGCGTTGGCCTGCGGACTGAAGGGTCCCAGGTTCGATTCCGGTCAAGGGGACATGCCTGGGTTGCGGGCACATCCCCAGTAGGAGATGTGCAGGAGGCGGCTAATCGATGTTTCTCTCTCATTGATGTTTCTAACTCTCTATCTCTCTCCCTTCCTATCTATAAAAAATCAATAAAATATATTTAAAAAAAAAAAAGAGAGAGAGAGAAACATCGATCAGCTGCCTCCTGCAAACTCCCCACTGGGATGTGCCCGCAACCAAGGTACATGCCCTTGACCGGAACCGAACCTGGGACCCTTGAGTCTGCAGGCTGACGCTCCATCCACTGAGCCAACCCGGTTAGGGCTTCCTCTTTTATTTTAGTGTTTAGTACTTTTCTTCCACTTGCCAGCTGGAACTAATTTAATTGATCCTTGTGTATGTTTGACCACTAAGAGGGGAGAAAGGAGAGGGTGACCCTAGCCTAGCTGGTTTGGCTCCATGGTTAGATCATCAACCTTCGGACAGAAGGGTTGCAAGTTCAATTCCAGGTCAAGGGCACATGCCACAGTTGTGGGTTCCCCAGCCCTGGTAGGGGTGCATTCGGGAGACAACCAATCGATGTGTCTCTCTCACATCAATCTTTCTTTCTCTCTCTCCTCCCTCCTCCCACTCTCTCTAGAAATCAATGAAAAAAAAAATCCTTAAATGAGGATTAAAAAAAGAAAGGAGAGGCTAGACCAGCCGTGGGCAAACTATGGCCCGCGGGCCGGATCCGGCCCGTTTGAAATGAATAAAACTAAAAAAAAAAAAAAAAACCGTACCCTTTTATGTAATGATTTTACTTTGAATTTATATTAGTTCACACAAACACTCCATCCATGCTTTTGTTCCGGCCCTCCGGTCCAGTTTAAGAACCCATTGTGGCCCTTGAGTCAAAAAGTTTGCCCACCCCTGGGCTAGACACACTGTCAGAGTTGTCTTTCATGTATTCATACACTCATTCATTCCACAAATGTTCATTAGGTCCCTGGATTGTGACAGACACCAAGATGGGTGCTAAGGATATAAGGAAACTAGGTTTGGGGGGAAAGAAATATGCAGAGATACTTGGGAAAGTAGTTTTCTTAAAAATAACGATCTCTCAAAGGAAAAAAATAAAGTTATAATCAATAAAACAAATTTTAAAAGAAATTAAAAAGAAAAAAGAAATAAAACAAGTTAAATCTTTAAAAAATGAGTATTAACTACACAAAAAGTCTGGATTGTGTAAATTATGAAAAATAGTAATTGTCACATGAGTTTACAGTATTGTTTTCAAAATGCTCAAACTCTTTTGAGCCCCACATTGAAATGAAGAATCACAAGTGACAATTGGAACAGATGCTGTTTAGCCAAAACTTGCTAGAGAGAAAATTATTCTTAAAAGGACGACAGGCCCCAAACTTGCAGACACAGTGACATAAAAACCAAAGGGGCTCACAGCCTAGTTGGAGACTGGTCCCCGTGGAGCAATGTTAGTTTGAGAACAGAGAGGTGCACGAAGGGCTTAGGGGACCCCTGATAATTGGGGGCAGCTGGAGAGTTGGAGGTGTCAGGGCAGGATCCGCAGCACAGGCTATATCTGTGCAGAGTCTCGGCAGATGAACTAAAGTTAGCCAGCCTAAGGCAGTGGGAAAAGATGTTCCAGATAGAGAAAATCACATGTGCAAACACAGCCAGAGGGGGAAAATAGAGTGTGGTCCAAGATCTACAGATGGTCTGGCCGGAGATTGGGAGTTGGGGGGTGGGGAGGGTTAAGGAAGGGCAAAAAGTAAGTTTCTCAGTCTTGTAAGTAAAATGAAGAGGCTTAGACTTTATCCTATAAAGAACAGAGTACCTTCAAAAGATTTTAAGCAAGAAAGTGATATGGCTAAGGTGATTTCTAGAAGTGGCAGAAGGGAGAATAGATTATAAAAGGGAAGAGACAAACAATTTAAGAAACCATTACTTAGGAACACAATTTAGGTTGCCACCTGAATCTCTATATTCCAAGCTGGAGCAACTTTTGCTCAAATAAATGCTTTTTTATAAAAAATTAAAAAAAAAAAAAAAGCGCCAAGACCGGTTTGGCTCAGTGGATAGAGCGTCGGCTTGTGGACTGAAAGGTCCCAGATTTGATTCCGGTCAAGGGCATGTACCTGGGTTGCGGGCACATCCCCACTGGGAGATGTGCAGGAGGCAACTGATCGATGTTTCTCTCTCATCGATGTTTCTAGCTCTCTATCTCTCTCCCTTCCTCTCTGTAAAAAATCAATAAAATATATTAAAAAAAAAAAAAAAGCCCTAGCCGGTTTGGCTCACTGGATAGAGCGTCGGCCTGGGGACTGAAGAGTCCCGGGTTCAATTCCGGTCAAGGGCATGTACCTTGGTTGCAGGCACATCCCCAATAGGGGGTGTGCAGGAGGCAGCTGATCGATGCTTCTCTCTCATCGATGTTTCTAACTATCCCTCTCCCTTCCTCTCTGTAAAAAATCAATAAAATATATTTTTTTAAAAAGAAAGAAAAGAAAAGAAAGAAAAAAACACTAATACTGAGGAAGGTGCAAACACCTTGTTATAATTTGGGGGAAGAGAGAAAAAATATTCATACTCAAAAGTGCATAGAATTTGGCTCGTTCTTTGCTCAATTTCCAATTGGGTTAATGTAATCAGTCACTAAAGGGTAGATCCTGACAACAGTAGTTGCCTCCAAGGAGGGGAATGGAAAGTTGATTTTCAAGGAGAGGAGATTTTTTTAATTTATTTTTTTTCCTTTCACTTATTGATTTTAGAGAGAGAAAGGGGGGAGAGAGAAAAACATTGATTTGTTCTATATATTTATGCATTCATTGACTGCTTCTTTTTTAAAATATGTTTTTATTGATTTTTAGAGAGAGTGGAATGGAGAGGGAAAGAGACAGAGATAGAGAGAGAGAGAGAGAGAGAGAGAGGACATCAATCAGCTGCCTCCTGCTCTGCAGCCCCCTACTAGGGATTGAGCCACAACCCAGGCATGTGCCCTGACTGGGAATCAAACCAGTGGCCTTTTGGTGCAGGGGCAATGCTCAACCAACTGAGCCACACCAGCCAGGGCTCAGTAGTTGCTTCTTGTATGTGTCCTGATGGGAGATTGAACCCACAACCTTGACCTATCAGGACGACACTCTAACCAACTGAGCTATCCGGTCAGAGCCAAAGAGACTTTTTTTTCTGTATAGCCTGTTACACACTTCCAATTTTGTATTTTAGACATATATTACCTGACTACAAAAGAGGTTATTTCACAACACGGGAAAATATGTTATGGAGAATTTGCCTGCCACCCATTTCCCCACACACACCTTCCCAGGAAAACCTCAAACCTCCTTATTCGGAAAGGATTACAAAATCAGAAAGTCAACAGACTTGGGCCCGAGGCAATGAATTTTTGGCTGTTGTCCCTGGTGGTCCCTGAGCTTCTTGGTGTTTATGTTCCTAGTGACCAAGCACCAACCTCAGGAAGCTTCGGTTGAGATGATTGACTCTACTGGTCTGACTGGAATTCAGAGCTGAGGGAGGGAGAGGTGGGATCTTATATCCTCTTGGTTGTATGTTGGACTGTCTGGTTCCATTACCGGAATCCTAATCCTGACTTGTGCGGGTGGTTCCCCTGCTATGTGCCGAAGGAGAGGAAGCTGCCAGGAAGATGCCAGGGGGACGGAGGAGCCGGGCTGACACAGAGGGCAGGCACATTTCCTTACCTTGCAGTAGATTTGTGAGCAGAAAGGGCCCGACATAATTGGTGGCAAAGGTGAGATCAAGGCCCTCTGGGGTTAGTGTCCTGGGGATTCCTGGGGGGAAATGAAAACACATGAAGTGGATGATGTGCGATATATTGGGGTTCAATAGAAAGGGCGATATATTGGGGTTCAATAGAAATGCTGTAGGAGCACGTATGTGCACAGATGGGGCAATTAAATGTGAGGGAGTCAGGAGTGTTTCTGCAGGGTGCACAGTGAGGCTTTGGGGATGCCTGTTTTGTGGTCCCTGACCTAGGAAGGAGTCTCCTGAAATGTGTTTGGGGGAAGCACGTCAGGGCACATACCACAGACTGCAGCATTGTTAACCAGCAGATGTATCTCAGGACACTCTTGCAGGAGCCACCGGGCAAAGCTCCGGATGGAGGCCATGGAGCTCAGGTCTACCTCCCCAAGCAGAAGGCTGGCATCCTTCGAGGCTGCTTGGATCTCAGCCAGGGCTCGCTGTCCACGCTCTCGGCTACGGCAAGCAAGGACCACCCGGGCCCCACGGCGGGCCAGCTCCTGGGACACAACCTTTCCGATACCTGGGGGGGGGGGGGCAGCTTCAGAGCAGGCTAGTCTGGGAAGTGACTAGAGGGTAAAGGAGCAAGGGGGAGGGACAGAGGTGTTGACAGTGGGTGCTGCTTCTCCCCGCTGCCCTCCCTGGGAAGGCTGTTGGGGCTGAGGCCGCTGGTGAGGTGACAGGGTGGAAGGAGCACTCACCACTGTTGGCCCCAGTCACCACGGCCGTCTTCCCGGTTAGGTCTGTGGGGCAGTGCTGCAGGTCCCAGAGCTGAGTCTTATGCCAGAGCTGCACACTTAGTCTAAGCAGGAAGACCAGAATGAGGAGGACAGAGCCAGGACCCCAGACCTGGGTGCTGAGTAGAGACCACAGTGGCATAGCAGATTACTGGCCTACCACCCAGAGTGGGAAGAGAATTTGAGAGAGCTAGTCAATGCTGAGTGGGCAGCAATAAGGCCGGTGTGGAGCCCAAGATGCAAAATTTAAGGAGGCACTCTCACATTTGCTCAAGCAACCCATCTGAACCCGAGAGAGAGTTCCTCCTTATAAATTGTGTGACCTGAGCACTTGATTGCCTCACCTCCAATCAAAAATTAACAGAAGGGCTTTCCCTGAGCCCGAAACCCTGCCAAGGCTCAAATCTGTCTCTGAGCCAAACTTGGATTTGCATCTAAAGTGAATTGACAGAGCTCCAGGGACTAGGGACGCAAGAAATCAAATTCCTCGTGTCTCGAATCACTTTATGCCCAAGCGGGGCCATTCCCTTGCTCCCCAACTGATAGGGAACTAAGTTCTCCCAACTGAGGTAGACCCCACTTGCAGCCGTTACATCTATCTGCTCTTTTGTGAGGAGAGAATGGTTCTCCAGAATTCTGCTGGAGAGTAGACTTGGCCCTGAAGCAGGGTCTCCTATGGGTGCAAATGGGTTTATTCCCTGGACCCAGTGTTCTATCTTCTTCTAGGCCTGCCAGGACCACTGCTCCTCTCCAGCTCCGTGAGAATACACATCTTTGGAAGAAACTGACAGAGATACCAGGCCAATTCTTAAGGCAACTCAGGTGTTTATTTTTGGCAAGCAGACGGAAGGAAGGTAGGATTCCCGCTGGCTGAGGTTCAGGGCTCAGAATGGGGCAGGATCTTGGAGGGGAGCGAACACACTTTGGAGGTTGAGTTCCTCATTAGCTGTGCCCTGGTCACCTGGGCTTCTGTCTGGATGGGTTGCAACTCAATGGGAGGAGAGGTGCAGCCTTTTTTGGCCTCCTGCCGGGGTGCGCCAGACCTGAGCAGCACCTGTGTGCTTGGGTTCCACATGCTCACACCGGGAGCCAGCTTCAAGGCTTCCGGCAGCAACACTGGCTGCCACATCACCTGGGACGTGGCCTTGAGGATTTGGGGTTCAAGATAAGACCACCTGTGAGGATCCTGGCCCTCCTGGTCCCGCCGGCCCTGCGGAGGTACGCGGCTGCGGCCGGCCCACAGCTCTTCCAGCAACACCGCCTCCCTCTCCCAGCCCCTCGGCCACTGTGCACCTGGCCATGTGCAGGGGCTGGGGCTGCGGCTGCAGGCCATTTGGGAGACCTTCAGGTGCCTTTCCGGAAAGCGGCTCTCTGGGCCCGGTAAGAGCCCCTGTGACTGGGAGCCAGGTGATGATGGGCCTACGCTTAAAGGGGGAAGTTGGGAGCAGGGGCGCAAAGTAGGGAAAGGACCGCTGTGAGGGAGAGGGCAGAAAGCTCGGCAACTGGAGTCATCAGCTTGGCATCTGGCCAGGGCCTCTGTCTTCTTGACCTGGGGGGGCCTGCGGTAGACTTCCAGGGGGCGTACCTCAGCGTCTGCATCCACAACCTCAACTTCTGGGCGTACCCATTGGCTCGGCAGCACCGAGGGCTTGCGGCCCGGCCTACGGGGAAGTGTCCTCAGCTGTGAGCCCATGAACCAAGGCTGCTGGAAGGACTCGGAGGGGCCGAGTATGATGGGGTCCAAGGCAGCGTGGGGCTTCTCGCCCTTCTTGAACACCTGCTCACTTAGGTCCTCAGCAGAGGGCGGGTAATAGAAGTCCTCTAGTGAGAACCGGGAGCTGAGGGGCCGTGTGCTCTCTGCCGATTCCTGGGAGCTGGCTGCCAGGGACTGCTCCGGAGAAGAATGGGGGCTCCCAGAGGGAACTGTCACCACCACTTTCTCCACAGATGCTGACGGCTGTTGGAGGCTCATGTTCCTGGACCCTGCCGAAGATGGGCGGCCTCCTTCCTGGTCTTCCAGTTCCTCTAAAGGATCCCTGGGGCCTGCCTCCTGAAACAGCTCTAAGACGGGTGGAGGGCTGAGAGTGTCTCTTGGCTTGGAGGATTCCATCTGCTCCTCACAGCCTCCATCCATCAACGATCTTTCTAGAGAAATCTGGTCGACGCTCCCATGGTCCTGGGGAAATGCGCCAGAGGTAGGGGTGGGAGGTAGATAGTGAGAGGTCAGAAAGGGGAGAGAGGAACTAAGGGTGGAGAAACTAAGGGTAGAGAGGCCGTAAGGAAAACGAAGGTGCATTGGGGGTAGGGGTGGGGGTCAGAGGGAGCTGGGGGCTTACCTGGAGACCGGTGGGACGAAACACTCTTTACCTGTCCCGGTGCGTGCATTAGGGGCACAGATCCCTGAGCCCAGGCATCCGCAATCGGAGGGAATGTCCCCCGCTCCAACTCGCAGGGAAGGCTGGGGCTTAAGCCCAGATAACAGGGTGGC